GTGCTACACCTTGGACTTTGCCCGGGTTCCGCCATTGGGCATTTGTCATTTGGGCTAGCGGTACCTAGAGTTGACGGATAGGTGTAGAATAGGAGTATTATAGTGGGTGGGTGTAGCCGTTCAAAAAAAAGGCAATGATTAAAACTAATGTCGGTGATATAAATATCATATTTTGTGTCCCAACTGAAAAGAAATTTTATAGATTTTAAAATAAGAGCATGAAACAAAATTATTCACTCTAACTTCTTCCTTCTAATATGTAACACCCGGTTTTGAAAGTGTTTCGTTGCTCGGGGCTGCGGCCCAATCATCAGTTGTCATAAGGTTTAGGGCCTTGGGAAAGGAAGGATTTGGCCAATTTCGGACATGGGTGTTATGGTATACGTGATCCAAGTGTTCGACTGTGACTTCGGAGGCCAAGGGTATAATCGTAATTTGATAATTCGGCCTTTTATGGATTTTGGGTTTTGTGCGGGAAGTTTTAAGGCCATGATGAGTTGATAGATGCGTAGAGCCTCTCGTCACGTTTCCGTGGATATAAAGAACGTAAAAATGGAGTTGAAACGAAGAAGTTATGGTCATTTGAAGTTGGAGTGGTTCGGGTGAGTGATCGTTGACTTGTTGATCAAGCTCATTTAAGGCTCACGGCGTGAGCATGAAGTGCTCACGACGTGAGACGCACCTGATGCACTAAAAACCCTAATTTTCGGGTATTTAAAGGCATAAGATGATTAGGGTTGCTTCTCTTCAGCCTCTTTCACTCCCAACACCTCTGGAAACCCTAATCTCAGCCCCCATTGAAGTTCTTGATCATTCTTGGTGTTTTTCAAGAGTATTTGGGTCCTTTGAAGCTCATTAAGGAGAAGATGATCATTGGTGGTGCATTTGTTGACATCTTGGTTGCTTCATCAGATAGTTGAGGAGCTTTTGGACCTTTGTAAGTCTTCAAGTTCATGCCTTTCCTTTCCTTGCTTGCTAGATCTAAGTTTCCATGCATTTTATGGCTTTTTATGTTTGTTAGCATGCATGGAATCCATAAAGTTGGCAACTTTATGGATCATGGTGGTGTCTTAAGTCCTATATGTTCTAGAATCTGGACTTTGGTCATGGTTTTAGACTCCAAGTTTGAGTCTTGGCCCTCTTTCCTTCATTTTGATCTTGGTTGGTGTTAAGTCATGTATTGGACATATGTGGCTGGAAAGCTTCGATTTTTATGATCCTTGGGGTCAAGGAAGACCCTCTAGACTGTCCCATGTTAAGGCTTAATGGATTAGGAGCTTAATGCTCATTTTTGGTCAGATCTGGACTCACGACATGAACACGTATTCGAGGAGGTTCCTGGACTGAAACCACGACCTCACGACGTGAGCAGCCCCTGAGCAATTTTTAGACTCTTTGATTGTGGGCTAGCTTGGTATTGGACCTATCCTTTGGTTTGGGCTGATAATAGACTAAGGATTTTAGAGTAATGGACTTCTGGTTGGGCTTGCCTTGCTGGGTTTTCCTTAATGGGTCTTAGATGATGAATTAGGCCTTAGTGGGCCCAATGTAGTTAGGCCTTGATTGGGCCCAATGGGCTTGGATCTTTGGGCCATCGGAAAAATCATTGGTTCAGAGAAGTAAATGGGCTTTAGGGAAAGGCCCATGTAAGGGTTTGGGCATTGATGGGTTCTTATGGATTATAGAGTTTTGGGCCTTAGTTATGGTCTTGTTGGGCCAGGAGTAAAATGGTCATTTTACCCCACGATTTGGATTATGGTTCATGGTTTAGAACTTAGTTGCTAATTGGATTTTGTGTTGCTAGTTTGGAAAGCCGTCAGGGCAGCAGCTAGGGAGTTCGGGCAGCGAGCTTCATCATTCGAGGTGAGTCTCCTCACTGTTTATGTATGGTAGGAAGACTCGGGGGTTAGCCCTAGGCACTATGAATAAAAGACCAGGGGGTGGCTCCTGGCACACAGTATGCTATTATGTATGATAGGAAGACCCGGGGGTTAGCCCTAGGCAATACGCATGAAAGACCAGGAGGTGGCTCCTGGCACACTGTATGCTCATTAGCTAAGTAGAGTAGTATGTATGTTATTTGTCTTTGTTATACTTGCATGGAAGACAAGGAGGCGGCTCTTGGCACTTGTCTGTAAGACCCAGGGAGTGGCCCCCGGCTTGGCAAGAAAGACCACGTGGCGGCCCGTGGCATAACAGCAAGACTATGTGCGGCACATAGCACCTCATAAACGGTGTATCCAAATGTTCTGATGCCATGCAACCCAAATGGACCATGCCGAGTCGGGTCAAGTACATACCAATTATAGTTATGGACTTAGACACTAATCCAACAGTATGGCTCAGAGTATGTATGACATGTATGGCCCAATTGATATGTATGGTATGTGGTATTTGGTAACTCACTAAGCTTCGTGCTTACGATTTACAGTTTTGGTTTCAGGTATCTTCAGTTTTCAAGAAAAGGAGCTCGGGACGAACGCAGCGCATTCATCCATATTATTCTGCATTATGTGATCTTTGGGATTAGACTCTGATATTTGTTTTAAATGAAATGTTTTCAATGTCTAGAACAAAGTTATTAAGTGTTGTCTTATATTAAAAATAAAGTTTTTAGTCTTGAATTTTGGGATGTTACATAATATACAAAACTCATGTGGGTAAAATATGAAAACCAAAAAAATATAGGGACGAAACATAACAATATATTTCGGAGGCGTAATCTGCAAATTTTCTATTAGGTACGGAATATCTTTGTAATTTTTTAAACACAACCGTTTTTTCGTAAGCACAATGTCCTCTTTTGTAGCTTACGGGACAAATTTTGTAATTTATTTTTAGTATACGGGGTTTGCCAACATACAAAAAATCTTTAACACGGGGACTCTTTTTGTAAAAAAAAAACCTTACAAGGACCTTTTATATAAATTACAAAATTATAGAGACTAAATATGCCTGAAAACATTTGTGGCAAAAAATCTGAAATACATAAATTGTAAATTACCCCCGCTTTGCGAGGGTGTATTATGCAAATTTTCTATTTGATAAGGACTATTTTTGTAATTTTTAAACATACTGATCATTTCTATAAAAAATATTACGCTAATATTTGTAATTTATTTTTTATACAGGACTTGCAAACATACAAAAGTTAGGTTGGGACCATTTTTGTAATTTTTTTAACCATATGGATCATTTCTATAATAAAAATATACATAGGGACCTTTTCTATTAGTTAGAAGGACAATATTTGTACTATATCTTTTATATCTTTTATACTGGGAAAAATACGCTACCAAACTTGTAAACATACAAAAATTAGGTGGGAATCATTTTTGTAAATTTTTAACCATTTAGATCAATTATGTAATAAAAATATGCATAGGGACCTTTTCTACTAGTTAGAGGGACAATATTTGTAATTACCTTCTATATATTGGTAAAAATATGCTAATATTTGTAATTTATGTTCTATATAGGGACCAAACCTACAAACATACAAAAGTTAGGTAGGGATCATTTTGTAATTTTTTTAAACATATGGATTGTTTTTATATAAAAAAAAATCTGCATAGGGACCTTTTCTATAAATAATAGGGACAATATTTGTAACTTATTTTCTATACAGGGACCAAACATACAAACATACAAAAGTTTTGTGGCCAAAGTGAACATTCCATACAAAGGACCAAAGATGAGAATATTCTAAAGTCACTTGGCACAAATAAAAAATATATACATAAAGGACTAAAGAAGACAATATTTTGAAGTTATGTGGCATATATCAAAAACACATAAAATGTACTATTGCGGAAGAGGTAACGAGACGGGTGGTTTTACAGTTCAAAGTTTGCGGAACTTGATGGTTATTGCGGAAGAGGTCTCAAACACGTTTCCTTTTCATTGGGAGGGTTGGGCTCCTCTAAAAGTCAATTGTTTTGTTTGGCGTTTATGTTTAAATAGGATCCCAGTTGCCAACAACCTTCTTGTTAGAGGTGTGACTTTGCCATCGTATCTTTGCCCGCTCTATGGTACTGAACAGAAAGATGACGAGCATCTGTTTTTTAAGTGTAGTTTTGCAAAAAAGATTTGGAGTTGGTTCTGTAACTGGTCGATGTTATTGAAATTTGCTCCTATGAATGTTTCAGATATGTTGGGGGTGGTAAAGACATTGGTGTTGAATAAGAAAAGGAAGAGATTGCTATGGCCCCTCGTATATTCGGTTTTATGGAGCATATGGAAGACTAGAAATGCTTTAATTTTCAAAAGTTTCAGGATCAGCCCAATGAAGACAGCTTATTCAGGTAATCTCTTTCAATTGGTTGAAATATAGAGGGAGGTTTAGTTCTTTAAATTGGTTTGACCAGTGTAATTCTCATGTTTCCCTTATTTGTATGTTGTAACTTGTAACTTGTCTAGCGTCTCGCTAGTTTCGTTTTAATGTGATTCCGCTGTTCAAAAAAAAACATAAAATGTACTGTTCACTTCGCATTTGAAATTAATATAATTATGATAATAATAATAATTGTTCATTAAATTAGGATTGAGACTAATACTTGCATTTGAAATTAGTATGCATAATAATAATTGTTCATTAAATTAGGATTGAGACTAATACATGTGATATAATATTCATATTTTTTGTCCCAACCAAAAATATATTTTATAAATTAAGATAAAAACATGAACAAAAAATTTTCACTCTGCCCTCATGAAAATAGCTGATTTGTAAATGATCGAGACTGATATGGACGTGATATAAATATCACATTTTTAATCTCAACCAAAAAAATATTTTAGAAATTTAAGATAGCAGCCAAAAAGAAAAATTATAGTCGGACTTCTAAATTTTTGCATCCTTTCGTAGATTTTATGATATGTTATTGTTTACAGGAATAGGATTGAGACTGATGTCAGTGATACAAAAATAACATTCTTCTTTGTCCAATCCATCTTTCATAAATTTAAAGATAAAACATGAAAGCATGAACGAAAAAATCTTTTAACCTACCCTTACAAAATGATATATTATTTTAAATTTGTACACCCTTTCATACATTTTATGGTATTTTATGTATCTTGGTAAATATTTGTCCTTAATGCATAAAAATTACACTCATTACGGATTTGAATCTTGTTTGACGCCTTGATGGAGTTGAGATTTGGTTTTCGCGTATTCGACAAATATAACCCTTCCATCCAGAAACTGAAAGATTTATATAATAACAAATTGAGTTAAATGCAAGAAATTGCAATGTACTTTCATCCATTTCTTCATTATAACTTTCATTTCTTCATTATAACTTACATACATTTGATATGTAAAAAAAGCTAAAAACTAACCTTTCCATGCATACCCTCAATGGCCTTTTCAGATTCCTCCTTTGTTGCATACCGAAGGAAAGCAAAACCTCTTGATCTATTAGCAATCTTATCCATCACCAGATTCACTGAAAGCTTACAAGATTATTATTATTATTATTATCTCAATTCTCAGCTATATAAACACTTCTCATAAGTCATAACATAATTTGTGACAGTTTTATACCATCAATGAGCTGCCCAAATGACTGAAAAGCATTACGTAAGCCCTCTTCAGATGTACGAAAGGAGAGTCCTGCCATTTCAAATAATCTTCCATTAATGGGGGAGATTATAATAGGGTTTTAGTGAAAGGAAGTGCAATCCGAAAAGGAGGATTAAATTCGGAATTGAGCATAGCATCGATTACCAGATTGGAAATGGATTGAAATTGGTTCGATTTTTATTGCAATTTTCCATTCAAAATCTGACATAATGAAACAAACAAAATGGAGGGAGCAATTTATCAAAAATTGCAGCTACAGAGAGCGAGTTTACCACTGACAAAGAGCTTCGTAGAGTTGGTGAAGGTAGTGGTAGTCTTCTCTGGCTGTGACGAAGGGACGCACGCGACAATTTGAAGAGACTTTTGGAGTTTGGATGATGTATTTGAAAGCGTGGAAGAGAATGCAGGCGACAGATAACCGCGATTAAGTGATGTACAACATAAGAAAGAAGATGAACGCCATTGTTGTCGGGTTCTCTCGAAGTTATCGCTTCTCCAAGTAGATAGCGATGGAGATGATGAAGAGCAAACCGTTTGGTTAAAGGGTCCACCCATTGTTGCAAGAGGAGAAAGGGGTTAGGGGTTTGCTGTTAAGCAATCTCGGGAGCAGGACCCAAATTGTGGAGATGATTGGATGGGCGGGTTTACAAAAGATAACCTTTTACAATGGTCGGGTCGGGTTCATCTCAATATAATTTTCTTTTTCTTTTTTAATAATTTAAAGATAATTTTATAATTATAAACTATGGTTATGTCCTAAATTAAATAAAAGGTTTAGTTTATTTTTGGTCATTTAACTTCTGGTTTTGTATTTATTTTGTCACTTAACTATTTTTAAGTTTTAAAAGGTCATCAAATTTTTGACTTTGTGTTCATTTAGTCACTTAACTTTTAGATTTGTGCTCATTTAGTCACCTAACTTTTAATTTCTAAACTTTAAAAAAAAAAAAAAAA